ACTTTACACAGACACTACGCTACTCCGACAATATGTTACATCGACATAATTTTACTCAGACACTATGCTACTTCGACAACACAGACGAGATGCTTATTAATCAATCTTTATACTCCCATAAGAATCATCATCATTACAAACCCATGTAGGAAAAGGTTTTTTATATCGATAAGTATGAGTGTGTGCGTTGTTATTATTATTATTATTATATAACAAAAAAATAACAAAATCATATAATCGAAAAATTCTTTTATTAATTATATAGTGTAACAAAAAACTATTAAATTACATAAATGAAATAGTATATTTTTTATCGAGGGACTGTAACGAGTCAATATAATATACACCGAGCTTTAGCGGGGATATCTACTCGGGGATATTTACTCGGAGGGTTTATATTGGCTTTTAGTGTTCACTTCCATTGCGAGAAAATGAGATGTAAAAGTATCTTTAGACTTTAATAAATCTTGACAAATGTAATTTGTAACTTGTGACCATTTCTTGGTGACATTTTTATTGTTGAGGTAGTGAATTACACTGTATAATTCGATATTTCAATGGTATTTAACATATGCGAAACATGTTTGTCCTGACACTGTCTCTTGTTACATCTTTTGTTATACCATGTTCTAATATTATTAATATTATTATTGTCTTTATGATTATCGATAATATTACTACTACAACACTAAATGAATCCGCCATTTGTAGAGTACAGTTTTTGTTTATGTATTACGTATGCACGTTCATTCCGTAGGTATGGCAGCTCCTTTCCTTTAATTTTTTCCATCCTCTAAGGTTTGTTGTATGTGTGTCTTGTTGACAAAATACCGCAAAAACTTCAAAATATGGTGCGTGATTTTGTTGTAGAGCGTAAACGATTGAAATAAAAATTTTTTTCACGCAATCCAAGTGAAAAACAAAGTTTTCACTTCAAGACTAAAACCTAAACTAATCCCTCGGAGTAATATATAACCTTGCTGAAGTTTATTATTATCGGAGTATAAAGATTTTTAAGAAGCATCCCGTCTTTGTTATTGAAGTATCGTAGTGTAAAATCATGTCGATATCGATTCTATCTTGCAACCTTGAGCGTTATCTTACTACAATAATATTATTTATCATATACTGGTCATACATCCCTTTTAAAACAACTAGTTTATCTGGAGAACATTTTGACATACTCTAATGAATTACGGCATAGACATTATATTATGTACAAAGTTATCTATCATAGGCTAATATTAGGAATAGGTGAGCACTAGTAGTAAAAGTTCTCTAATACATTTTATATTATATTATATTACATTGCATTGCATTGCATTGCATTGATGACAGTATTGATATGATCCAATGTCCCACACACACTACACATAACATCACAGTAGATAGGCTGAGAACAAGAGCATGGGAAGTAGGAGTTGTGTCGGTATATTTTGAGGGAGACAAGCCCATCGAACAGTATATCGAACGGCTGGCTAAAGTTAAAACTGAATTGGGTACAAAGAACCTAATAATAGAGTGAACTTGAATTCCTAGAACCATGGTGGGGACGTAGCAAGATCGACATAGCGGAGAGATTATTTTTAGTTCATTAGAGGAGATGGACCTGCAGATATTAAATAGAGGCTGTGAGCCTACATTTCACACTACAAACATATAAGAGGCGAAAAACGCTTTATAAGTTGTGTTGACCTGACAGACTGCTCAGTGGAGATGCTAGGACGCACGAACCATTGGAAATATAGACAAGCAGACGACGCACTCTGATCTCAACGCAATCCTCTTTGAATTTACTCTTGAAAATTCGAAAGGAATAGAACTTAAAAGAACAACAAGAATTTTTAACATGAAGAAAACAAATTGGAGAGATTTATGAGATACTGACCCAATCTTGGTAAGAAAAGAACATAAGTAAAGAGGAATTAGATAAAATACAAAACATTAAATGGTATAAAACATTGCAGTATTTTTATTCCTTATACGTTTTGTCAACTCACCATCACTTTTGTGTATCCCAGATTCCTGGTATATGTGACAAGAACTTTGTTTTTTGGATCAACTATACTTTCTTCGATAATCTTCACAGATTTTGCATTGAAGAACCTGAAAGAAATCAACATGCATTTACTTTCAACCTAAAATAATTCAACAATGGACTTTTAAATACTTAGTCCATACTGAAAGTTCCTGGATTCTGATAAGTAAGACCAAATATTATGTTTATAATAGATTTATTGTGTTTTCAAAGTGTGTGCCCTCGGAATTGACACACTTTTGCATTCGTTGGAACTATTGTGAAAAGCAGTGGGACCAGTCTTTCGTTAGGACCTCTCTAATGGCTTCATGGAACGCATTCACCGCCGCTTGCGGGCTTGTAAATGGTATACCTCTAAGTTTATCCTTGATTTTGAAATAAAAAGTAGTCGAATGGTGCAAGGTCTGAGCTGTATACCGGATGAGTCATTCGCTGCACATTTGAGGCCTTCAAATACGCATTCGTTACCTTAGCGGAATGTGCAGTCATGTTTTCTAACACTCTGGGCAAGCAGGTGTTTACATACCAACCTACAGTCACCATCCTTTGGTCTTTAAGTTCTACAGTAGTATAATGTCCTGATTTGCCGCAGAAAGAAGCAACCATTTTCTTACCAGTGCTCCCACTTTTCTTAACTTTCGTCGGCAAATCTTCAAAAGGAAAGACCCATTCTGCGGATTGGCTTTTTGTTTCCGGTTCAAAGCAGTACACCCAGGTTTTGTCACCTGTATTATATACAGCCATAATTGTCCTCCATTAAACTTTTTTATCAATTTATGGGTATCACTCTACACCCAGTCGTTTCTGATACTCCGTTAAATCATGCGATTATCCATCGAGTGTAAAGTTTCCGAACTTTCAGATGCACATGCAATATCTTTTGCAGCTGGCTCATTCCAATGGCTCATTCCAATGCCTAGTACAGTACAAATTTGCTGACAAATAATTTTTTTGTCAGTTTCAATCAGTTGTCGGACGGTATCAAAATTAAATTTGGTAACCGCAGTCACCGGCCGACCTTCACGTACATCGTCATGGAGATGATCATGTCCACGCCTAAATTTACTGAACCACGAAGAGACAGCGCTAAGACATATAGGGTTTCATTACCAAATACCAATTGAATTCTTTGACAACCCTCTTGTTGATTTAAGTCACATCGAAAAATCATAGAAAATCGTGGACTGAAAATTTTCATAAGTCATTTCCAGATAGTTGTGTATTTCGGAGTTGCGAGCGTACCAGGGTACAGCAGTTAATACACTGAGTTTTTTTTTTATAATATCAAGTGACGGGATGAACAAGTCGTGCGCATGATGCGTAAGCTACACGCCTGTCCATAACAGTTGCAGTGCCATTCAGAGCTTAAAATCGCAAAGATCTGAGGGGCACTGCCACTGCACGCGTCACCCTGAGACATAAGGTGACAAGTTTCATGTGCCTGTAATTACACCAGCACCCTTAACCTTCAAAACCGGAACACAGTAATGCTGACATTACTGCCATTACATAACATTATTGACGGCAGAAATAAATACAGTAGCAGAACTTCCTTGGACAAACTCTTTCACAAGGAGCTCTACTGCTACCTAAAATATGTTATTGTGGGCCCTTCGAAGACTAGGCAAATTTGTTTTGCTGGCTGTTGATCACAATTGTATCCCATAAGTCCAAATCGGTTTTATGTTTTATTACACTGCAGTACACTCTCAGGTTATTGCTTAGAGATAAAGTGGATTGTCTTCCAAGAAGCCAGAGTAGATTTCTGAACCTAGAGTTGATCTTAGTTCTTTTGTTTTTTATATGTTCACTCCATGTCATCCTACGATACAAATGGAATCCCAAATATTTGACGCAAGAGCACACCCCGGACACTATACAACAGTCGAAAGTTATTTACCTACTACTACTACATACAGCAAGGCGCTATGTGCACACGCGCAAAATATGTGTGCGTGAAGTGGCAGGATTATCCATCACTTTCTCGTACTATTACGTTACATGGTCAGAGCGGCAATATAGCGAAAATTGTAACGTGAATCTGTTATCTGTTTAGTAATTACACTTCTTCATTAGGTATTTATATCTATATAATATTATATTTTTAATTAATTCACTAACTGGGATAATATAGAAGGTTTATTTAAAAAATATACTAAAAGCACTTAAAATGCTATATTTTGGATGGGTACTTTCAATAAGGTAACCAAGGTATTTGAAATTGCGTGTCCAAGTTTACTAGTTAATAATTAGGTATATTCACTACGTAATATTTGTCGGCAATACAAATTAAAAATTCGAGAACTCTTGTCTACTAGCTCACGAAGTTATGGCGTCTCAAATAAAGGATAAAAACTAAAACCAGTTCTATTGTGAGATAAGTGTGAGATTAACATAACTTCACACACCCTGACTAATTTCCCTGTACCATAATCTTCTTATTTTTTCTTTTTATATTTGTCAATAGTTTTCTGTAATAAATCAGTGATCAAAATTGAGGCAGTTAATCTACATAAAATATCAATGTTTTACTCAGTATACCCCTTACATCATCAATGGATGTAAAATGTCTTTTTTTTACGGTTTATTTCCTAAACTAAATAAATAATATGCATATTCAAATTCCATACGCATATTCAGTACCGAGAAGTCCCGGGATTCGTAGTAGAGAATGCCCATATTATTCTTTAGTTTAGCTAAATTAACTCCCTCAATTCCGATCACTAATAATAATAATTTAATAGAATATGAAATTTGCGCAAAACCAATTTCAGTTAAATTATCTTTAAAATGTTTTCTCAGTTCCTCTTCAAACTTATCAGACAATAATAATACACGTTTCCTCACCTTTCCCCCCACTTTGGCACTCTGTTGGTTTTGGTGAGTAGTCGCTTTGTATGGAGGCACCCATCCTCTATGCGTCTACTGTATGTGTCCTCAGACAACACATGCTGACTGGAAATAATGACACAAACATTCATAAAACAAAAATACAATACAATACAATACAACCTTAAGCAAACAATAAAGATCTAGATAGCAACCTTTACCATTCCATGATATAAGTAATGAATTGATAACATTTTGCTTGTTCTAAATATTTAATATTAGTAATTACATATTCTTGATTGCAAATCAGAAATATCAAAAGAGGAAAAAATACACAGTGTCCCAAAAGTCAACGATAATCTGAGAACAGGATGTTGCCCAGTTTGTAACAACCCAGAAAAAAATATTTGAAAAATCGGAGTCATGTTTTTTTGTGATATAAGCATTTTAATGAAAAATGTTGAAACTGTACGACCTGTACACCATTTTTAAATACTATAATCACAAATTTTAATAAAAAAAAAACTATTTACAAATTTGCTAATTTTGCGGTACTAGTTTTTGTAACGGTAACCTAAATAGCCCAGCTAATGAACACAATGCCAAAGAAGACCCGAATTGCTAAAGTTTCAGCATAAAAAAATATTCTATTTAATTTTTTTCTTGAAATTTTTAGTAGATTTTATTTTCAAGGTAACTTTGACACCCCATACCGTAAAAAAAAATACCTAGAATACCATGGCAACTTCTTACAAAAGTTGGCGCAACTAATCAAGATTCTA